GGTTAGGTTAAGGGTTAGGTTAAGGGTTAGGTTAAGGGTTAGGTTTAGGTTTGGGGGGGTTAGGGTAAGGTTTTCGCTTTAATTTTACATTTATCGATCACAGCGCGATGCTTTCGTCGAGCGCGCTTTCGTCGAGCGCGCTTTTGTCTACCGCGGTTTTGTGGTGGAACCGGGAGGCCTTCTAGCCCAACTTAGAGTGGGACTCCTCCAACTAGCCCAGACAAATGGCCTTTCTTTGAACACCTTCATGGAGCGACCCCTCAGGACTCTTCCACTGCTTAATAATTCCCAAAATCCAGGAAATTCCTACTTGAGCTTGAATAATTCTCAGAAAAGCTTCCATCCCTTATTTCTTGTTCTACCCTTGAGCACTATAGAACATATAATTCACCCCCTCTTCCCTGTGTCAACCCTTCAAGATTGGAGAATTAGCACGTCCTCCCAGCTTTCTCTTTTTTAGGCTAAACAATACTCAGTTCCTTTAACCAATTTTTCATAAGACTTAGCCTTCAAGCCTCTTTGTTGCTCTTCTCCGCCCCCTCTCTAAGTCCCCTGACTCTTTTTTGAATTGTGGTGACCGGAACTGGAGAAGATATTGTGTGAGTATGATCCCATCTCCACCTCTACAGTACTGACTCCGTTAGCACCTCTGGCATGCTGCTGGGTCATGCAAAATCTGTGGTCTACGAGGACACCAAATCCTCCTTCCAAACACTATGTCTGAACCAGGTAGCACCCCTATTTTGTACCTGTGCACCTGGTTTTTCTTGCCAAATGCAGAACCTTACATGTCTGAACATGTTGTTAGATAGGACCAGGGGTGGGATTCAGCCGGTTTGAACTGGTTTGGGCAAACTGGTTCGCTTCGACGATCAGGTTGGCCCACCCGCTTGCCCTTGTGCTTTACCTTCCTATATCCTCTCAGCTGATTAGCGTGGCAGAGTGGATTGCTGTGCCTCAGCTGTGTTACTTCCCAACTAAAACTACATGGGAAACATGTGATCACTGAACCGGTTGTTCAACTAGATCGGACCCAGAGTTCACGTCTATCTAGACCTTCTGAATCTCGAGCCTGTATTCTGGTGCAACCCACTCTTGCCAAGGTTTGCATCATCTCCAAACATTATAAGAATCCCTCTATTTCTCATCTTGGACATTTATGGAGATCTTGACGAGTCCTTGGCCCAGGCTGGAACCCCAGGTACCCCCTGCATCTCTCCTCCCTTAAGGACCATGGGCTGGCTGTAGTAGCTCAGCCCACTCCCAATCCCTCAATCGTACCTTCTTCAAGTTATTCAAGAAGGGTGTGTCCACATTTTCCCCAATTCCTTATTAAAGTCTTCCTCCAGTAATCTAGCTCGGTTGTCAAAGCAAACTAAGATTTCTCTGGTGCACCTTGTTTAATCCATGATAACTCTGATAATTATCGTACTCCTTTCTAAGCCCTTGCAAACCTGCTCGATTCACTAATAAACTGTGGCTAAGTAGATTGTGGTTTTGCAAGAGCTGCAAACCTCAGAAAAGGGGGAGGGGGTGATCTCACCCAGAGACCAACCGGACATTCAGCAACTGTCCTGGGAAAAGGCTCTTCTGCAACACGGCTGTCACTCCAGCAGTTTCTGAAAAGAATTTTTATTGGTACAGCCACCTTCATCCCAGAGACGGACAAGTGGAAGAGCAAACGGGTGACAAAGAGAAGGCGATTCCAGAATACTCGGTGTCAAATCTGGGAGATGGCAATGGGCAGGTGCCACAAATGCCTGTAATGCTAGAGTAGCTGCTACACTCGGGGCTTCTGTTGCCAGCCCCCCCCTCCCCAAAGCTGTGCCACCCTGGCACCGGGCGAGAGAGAATCCGGTCAGCCTGCAAGGAAGCGTCCACGACTGGGGTCCCTGTCCAAGCTGCCCCAGTGCGAGGCCGAGGGGAGAAGTACTCAAGGGGGGCTCGGTACGTTGAAGAGGGTCCCCGCAAACAGGCGCCTCTTCAGCTCAGTCCAGAGAAGCTGCTGCTCCTCCTCTGCCCGTGCCAGGAGGCCTCGGTTCTCCTGGGCTCTCCTGGACAGGTAAGGCAGGACCTCCTTCACGGGGCCGTAGGGAACGTATTTATACACGGGGAACCCAGCTTGACCTGGAGGGAGGATTGAATTCAGAAGTCAGTTGGTTGCACCTTTTTCAACTCAGCCCCCCACTGCCCTCCACCATTGGCCAAGAGTCACATCACTCTTACGGAAGCCCTGCCTTACCAAGAGGGAAGGTGATTTGGTCACACATGCCCAGGAGCTGCCCAAAGTAGATCTTGTTCTCCGAGGGGTGGATGCCAAGGTCTACCATCCTGCAAAGAAGAAAGGATTTCAGAAGACAACCCCCGGACAGTCTCCAGATGTTGAAGAATAGCCAACCCCCCTTCCAGGTGTGCAGACACCATCTTGCAGAGTGTCCTGGGCAAGATGGCCCTGGCTTGAGAATTTTAGGAGGAGAATTCAGGCTTCATCAGATGGGTGCTCCAGGGCAGCGATCACCTACTGAAGAAAAATTATTGGCATTTTCTATATTGCACTGAATCTGGGGTCCTAAAACTACGGCCCCTGGGCTGGACATGTGCCATGAACGCTTATGTTGCTGCAGAGAGTCTCCCCCTTTGGGGTCTTTTTGTGAGGGTCAGAGGGGGCAGAAATTTTGATTTGGGATCTGCTTCGGTCTCCTGATGAGGGGCTTTGGACAAAGGCTGGGGGGAAGGGCCGCTGGTGGCGAAGAGCCAGAGGGCCTGGTTCCAGTGGGACTGCATCATGGCCCGGAACTGGCTGACCAACTCAGCCTGCTGAGACTCCAGGTGCCGGTACCTGGCCTTGCACTCCCGCAGGCCCTCCCTCTGCTTGGAAAGCCTATGCTCCTAGTCCTCAGTGAGGTGCTTCTGCTGAGCCTCNATCTCCTTGGTAAGTTTCCATCCGTTACCTCTCGTCCTGCCCTCTGGTGTTTTGGAGAACTGGTTGACCCCTCTTTCTCCGAGACAGAAAATTGGAAGAAGCTGTCTGTTCTGACCCAGCTCCCCAAACATGGCAAACCCTCTGAAGTTAACTCAGAATCCCAGCAGCATGGCAAAAAGTTTCTCTCTCACTGCAGGCTAACAAGTACGTCTGGCAGGGAGATGAATAGTTGTTGGCCACACCTATTCATCTCCATCCCCTGCCTTTGATCCCCAGAGCTAGGGTGGGGCTTCGCTAGCAGCGATAGCTCTTCTGTCCCAAGGACCGGCCCATAGATTTCCACTGCTCTCCTCTCTTCTGTGGATCTGTGTGTCAGGCACTGGACCCAGCTGTTCCTCTTCTTCCTCATCAGCCATCTCCAGACCTGGGGGGTGTTGACTTTCCACCTGAGGGCTGATGGATGGCCCAGGCTCTGCCTCTTTCTCTCTCTCTCTGCCAGCTCCATTACCTCTTCCCCCTGGAGCTCTCAGGTTGCCTTGATGCTGGCCCTAACTCCCATACCTCCTCCTCCGATTCGGTTGATGGAGGGGCCAATAGGCCACAACACTGTCACCCAGTCCTTCTCTTCATTAGCTCAGTTTCTGCTGCTGCCCAGCTGTCCCTCCCTATCACGGAATGCCCTGAGGGGGGAGGCATCCTGGTGCTTTTCTCTCTGCTCTAACTTGACCCGTTTTTAAACTTGATCTTTCTACTGCTGGTCTCTCCTCCTTTCTTCTGTTTTGGAGAATTATCCTGATCAACCAAGTCCAGCTCTACCCTCTACCCGCAATATAATTTCATTTTAAGAATCTGTTGGGCAGGAAAATATCAAACCGCTCCTCTCCAATTGCATTTAGGGCAATGAAATATCTCAGTGGTTAAGACTCCTGGATTGTCCGATGGAAATCTGACAGCCGGGGTTTGAAACCAAGCATCACACAATGGGGTGAGTTCCTGTCTTTGCCCAGCTCCTGCCTATCTAGCAATTCAAAAGTACGCAAATGCGAGTAAATAGGTACCACTTCAGCGGGAAGGAAACAGCACTCTGTGATGTTATGCTGGCCACATGACCTACAGAAATATCTTTGGACAGCACTGGCTCATAGCTTCAAAATGACAATGAGTGCTGCCCCCTACAGTCAGCATCAGCTAGTGCAGGGGTTCCCAACCTTTTCTATACCCTGCACCCCTAGAATGCTGATATATTTTCGCAGCCCTTGAAAAAGTAAATAATTATATGCATATAATTATGCACATACACAATAATTTTGAAACTTCTAAACCCACATTTTCATGCCCCCTGGAATATTGTCTCACACCTCACACACACCTCCTTGGGAACCCCTGAACTAGTGGAATAAAATTTGCAGGGACTCCCTCCCTTCCGCATCACGTTTGTGACCCCCTGTCCTGCTCTCCTCTCATACTTGCAATGCTATAGGCCAGCACATGCTCTTGTTTTAAACCTCACAAGTATCGCTCTGGGCAAGTTAGCACGAGCTGCCAGGACGGCAGCTGCAATTTTTTTTTTTAAAGCATCATTTGTAGAACAGCCTGGGATTGCTTTGCAAGTGATGCAGAAGAACCTCACAGATTCTGGAGGAAAAGGCAGAGAGAAAAAATGGGCAGGACACGCATCGCATGTGCTGAAGCTCTTCCTCCAAATTAGTTGTAAAGGAAGCGCCAATGCAGATCCATTTCGTAGACATGTTGGTGTAAAACTAGGACTGTCAAACTCAAGGTCCGTGGGTTGGATCCAGTCCGCAGGAAAAACCTGGAAATAGCGAGGGACCAGCCCCTGGTGACTCTGCCAATGAAAATGGGACTCCTGATGTCCATTTCCGACTGCCACGGCCTCCTGCAACCTCTGCCAGCAAAAACAGAGCTCCGTTTTTGCTGGCAGAGGCTTGCAGGAGGCCATTGCAGCCAGAAATGAACATCAGGAGCCCATTTTTGCTGGAAGAGGGTTGCAGGAGGCCGTTACAGCTGGAAATGGACATCAGGAGCCGGTTTTCGCTGGCCGAGTGCTCGGGCCATCACAGGTGCCCCTGACACGAGTGATGTCGAGCCTGCTACACCCAACCTTTGCCCCCCAAGGTCCAACATAACCCTGGTGCAGCCCTGCATGAAATCCAGTTTGACACCCCTGGTCTAACCGGTTCCACTCATCTAACGGATAGCCTCCCCCAACTGCAGGGTTGGCCTTCAGCTCCCCACTTCCTCCCCCACCACCCTGTGGCCTTGTGGGAAGGAGGAAAAGATCCCGGAGGAACGTCTCAAAGCCCCAGCAGCTCATGGCTCCACTCCGACTCATCACTGAAACCCGAACCCAAGAGATTGCAAAGGCCACGGCAAACTTGCTTATTGTTACACATCATTGGAATAGTTCCTGTCGATTAATTGCTGGGGTCCTCCTTACATCATTCCTCTTTTCCAATCCTCCCCCAAACCAGCCTTCCTCCGTAAGCCAATGCTTCCCCCACCCCGCCCCCCTGTCATGCCCCTTCTTATGTAATGGGCTATGACCTCAACTTCTCCAAATGATTGCTGCGGAGGGGATGGACACCACTTGGCACACAGCACAGCCCTCCCTCACTGCTGCCTGTTGCCACACTAGTCTCTTACTCTAGTTCCTTCTTCTTGGCCTCCTCGCTGGTCAGGTCTTCCTCCACGCTGTAGTCCAGCACTGAGCCCACGCCGTAGGCACGGTTGCGCCGGATGAGAGGCTTGATGGCTTCCTGGTCTTCTCCAGCCACAAACTGCCCATAGAAGGTCAGTTTCATCAGCTTCTCAAAGAGCTGCTGGCCCAGCAGCTTCTGGCTGAGGTGCATCAACTGTGGAAAGAGGGAGCAGTCACAGGGCTGGCTTTCTCACTTAAAACTCCCCAGAGGCAGCCCCAGAGTAAACACTGGTCCTATTACCCCCTTTCCCCATAAAACCTTATGATTCTTGAGGAATGTATGCTGTTTTATTTTTCTTTATGTACACTGAGAACATCTGCACCAAAGACAAATTCCTTGGGTGTCCAATCACACTTGGCCAATAAAGAATTGACTACTCTATTCTACTCTGCACCCCAGACTGGAACCTGGACCAGTCCAGTATTTCTGAATGAACCCTTGAGGTGGTGGAAATGTGCCTCCTTCAGGGAAGAATGTGCCATCTTTGACCCAAGTGCAAGTCATTTCTCAGGAGGCCTTAACCAGCCTTGGGAGTCACGAGATTGAATTCCTCTGAGATTACAGATTAACAAAATTGGAACCCCAAAGAATGTTAATTCTTTTGCAAAAAACACTCCCCAGTTTCTTAGGAAGGATAATTTCCAGAGCCATCACTATTTGTGCTGATAAAGGAAGATTCAAGCTTTGCATTTTGGAACTCCATCCTAAAGTTGCTCCTTCCAAACTCCTCACTGCTCCTTTGAGCTGTCTGCAAAGTCCAGAGGTCACCAACTGCTGTAGTTCTGGGGACTTAAACTCCTCGGTTTGACAGCCCAAGATCTCCCCAACACCCCCACGAATGTCCCGGGGATCCAGTCAACCGTAGAAGACCCCCCCCCACTCTTAGAAATCTCCCAAGGAGGGGACAACCACCCGCCGAGTTCCCACAAGCACGTTAATGCTCCTCCGTTACACGAACGCGAGGTGTGTGCCAAGTCCTTAACAGCCCTAGGGTACAGATTGACAGATGAGTGGGAAGGCACCTTGGAGGTCATCTAGTCCAACCCCCGCGCCCAAGTAGGAGACCCTACACTATTTCTGAAGAAATGGCAGTCCGATCTCTTCCATATCCATCGTTTCCTTTTTCATCCTTTGGGAAATTCGCGTCTAAAACAACACCAGCCTCATTTTAAACAAAAGGCAAAAGCCCCGTTTCCGTTATGCCGATAGACTGCATCTGAAGACGGAAGCTCTACCCTTTTCTCCATCCCCCCCCCCCCGCGGCCATTCAGTTCTTCCGGGAAAGGAAGAAGCGGCCGGATCTCCCGCTCACCTGCTCGGAGCGCTGCACCAGCGGCTCCAGGGCGCAGAGGCGGAGCACGAGCAGCCCGCGCAGGAGCTCGCCGCTGCTCTTGCTCCGGAAAGCCTCCCGGGCATCGGAGAAGTTCACCGTCCGCGGTTGGGGCGGCGGCGGCGGGTGCTGGCGGAGGTGCGTCCCGTGCGCGGGGACCGCGTCGGTGGGGACGGCATCCTGGTCCGGGAGCGCTGCAGCAGCAGGAGCCGCAGCCGGGGAAGAGTGCGAACGGCTCGGGGCGACGAAGGACTGAGCAGCGCGCAGCGACGCCCGGGAGAAGCAACAGCGAGCGGCCATGCCCACCAAGTACTGAAGGACGATCCGACGATCCGGCACGCTTATATAGGCGCCACCTCCCCCTTAGCCGCGCCCACTAGCCGGTGGGAGCGTTTGATTGGTGGATCTGCCGGCCCGGCCCGCGCCCACCGCGGGGCTTGCCTATTGTTCTCCGCTTCTTCGAGACACACCCACGTCAAGCCCCGCCCCCTCTCCTGCCCCGCCCCCGCCCCGGGCAATTCAGAAGACGCGAGGGGAGATGCGTGAGGATTGCGCAATCCCATCTGGAGCTGCGACGCCTCGGGGCAGCTTTGCCCAACTAGGTGCCCTCTGGCCAGGCTGTGTTGGCCAAGAACAACCGCGCCCCGTGCGCCGCTTTGGAAAGAGGAATTCCAGCTAAGGAATTAATCAATCAGACGCCGTCTCTCCCCGTGGAAACTCCCTACAGGCGGCCCCGGTGGGAAAGTGGAAGTTTGCTGGAGATGCAGAGAGGGAGGGAATGAGGGAGGGGGAATTGCGGGGCGCCCCCTCCCCATCCACCCCCTCCCCTCTGGGCTTTTGGAAAGAGCGTTCTTCTGCCGGGGTGGCGCAGTGGTTGGAATGCAGGATTGCAGGCTAATTGGACCCTGACCGCAGCTCGAGTCCCACTGGCTCAACCTTCCTTCCTTCGGAGGTGGGTAAAATGAGGAGCCAGATTGTTGAGGGCAAGAGGCTAACTGTATAAACTGCTTAGAGAGGGCTGGAAAGCACTGAAGTGGTATACAAGTCTAAGTGCTATTGCTCTTCCTTCCTTCCTCCCTCCCTTCCATCCATCCATGGTATGCAGTGGTTAGAATGCAGTATTGCAGGCTAATTCTGCTGACTGCCAGTAGTTCAATCCTGATCAGTTCAAGGTTGACACAGCCATCCGTCCTTCCAAGGTCGGTAAATTGAGGACCCGATTTGTTGGTGGCAAAAGGATGACTCTGTTAACTGCTTAGAGAGGGCTGTAAAGCACTGTGAAGCAGTATATGTCTGCTATTGCTATCCTTCCTTCCCTCCCTCCCTCCCTCCCTCCTTCCTTCCTTCTCAGTGGTTGGTTGTATATGCAGCAAACCATGGTTAAAATAACATTTGTTTAGTGCAACGGGGCGGGGGTAATCTAACCTTTATATGGTAGTCAAGAGAAATAAAAACACCTAATGGAAATAAAATATAAAATATATTGTGTAAAGTAATAATTACAATTACAAAGTATTGTTTCATGATGTGCCTTTTCTGTTTCACCCATGTTTCCCCCTGATTTTAATAACTTTTAGTCCCACTGGGTCAGATAATAAGCAGAAATGACACAATCTAAATGGAATGGAATGGAATAGAATAGAATAGAATATAAATTAGACTAGACTAGATGAGTAGAGTAGAGTAGAATAGAATTAGGAATTAAGAACGGACTGGACTGGACTGGACTAGACTAGAATAGGAATTTTATGACAGGAAAGACATCATTCAAGTAGAATAGAGTAGAATAGAATAATAACTTTAATGTCACTTTGGATGTATACTAATCAGCATACATTAAAAGGAAATTTCATTGCATACAGTTGCATATACTTACATAATATACCAGAATAAATAAATACAAATAAATACAGAATTATGCATATACCCACCTATAATATGTAAGTTTATTGCATTTTCTTCAACTGGCGGTGGGCTTCATCGCCAACAACTGTAAGCAAGTATGAGTTTCAATATGGAGATAAATATGTAAGGTTCGAATACTTAGGCAAGGTAAACCAAACCAAGCTGAGCTGATGGGGCAGGAGGTGGTGGTGGTGATGGGAAGCCTGGAATCCAGCCATGCTTCCAGTAGATCGGATTGTGCCAGGTTTGGCTTTCTTTGCAACTGCAGCAAATAGTCTCTCCATCCCACCACCCCTCCCCCACCCTGGCTCACCTATCGGAGTGGAAAAAGAACTGGAAGGGAAAAAAAACCCTGGTTATCTCTTCTCCAAGTGGTACTGCGATGCCCTTGGCAGGCTTGCGAGCAGATAAGGCAAGCGCTGGCTGAAAGTGAAGGTCAGTTTGTGAGGCAACGCTGTTGGTCACACCACTTGAGAATCGATAGGGATTATCTGAAATTTCACGTTTCCCAACCACAAAGCGGTTTCTGGATTGTTTGGGTCCTAGCAGAGCCTCTCCCCATCCCTTGGAAACAGAAGCCAGTCCCATCCTTGCTGCAAGAGCTGCAACACACATCACAAACAGGTGGAGGTTGCATCATTGTAGCTGCAATGATGAGCATTGAGCATAATTTGAGGACTGCCCTGAATGGCTGCATCCTTCTTTGTACTCAAAGGTTTGGGGAAGAGATGGCTAAAGGCCTTTTCTCACTCCTGGTAAGTTGCATTAACAGAGGGATGAAATCAAGATCAAGAGAGGTACTAATACCTCTCTATAAAAACTTGGTAAAACCACACTTAGACTATTGTATCAAGTTTTGGCCACCATACTATAAAAAAGATGCTGAGACTCTAGAAAAAGTGCAGAGGAGAGCAACCAGGATGATCAAAGGCCTGGACACTAAAACATATGAAGAACAGTTGCAGGAGCTGGGCATGGCTAATCTAGTGAAGAGAAAGACCAGGGGAGACAGGATAGCAGTCTTCCAGTATTTGAGGGGCTGCCACAGAGAGGAGGGGGGCAAGCTATCCTCCAAAGCACCTGAGGGTAAGACAAGAAGCAATGGGTAGAAACTAACCAAGGAGAGAAGCAACCTAGNTGAGACTCCAGGTGCCGGTACCTGGCCTTGCACTCCCGCAGGCCCTCCCTCTGCTTGGAAAGCCTATGCTCCTAGTCCTCAGTGAGGTGCTTCTGCTGAGCCTCCTTCTCGACCAGATCCAATTTGAACTGAGCTGTTTTGCCAACTCTTTCTCATGGTGGCTGCTTAGCTCCAACAACTGCTTCCTGTTGGGGCCCTAAGGAGCCCGGGCAGGCAGGGGAGGAGTGGCTGGGAGGGGAGGGGTGAGTAGAGGCTGGCGAGGCGACCACCTAGCCATGCCCACCAAGCCGATCATTAGGCAGATCATATTAGTGATCTGCAGGATTTAAAATTATGAATGTAGTGGTCCCTGAGGTCAGAAAGGTTGGTGACCACTGCTCTAGAGATCCAACAGCAAGAGACAGATGCCATGGCAGAGGAAATATTTAAATAAACACGATAAAAGGAGTTGCAAGGTACCAGAGGAGAAGCAGGAAAGATTCATCCAAAAAGTTATTAAGAGTTAAAACTCTAAAAAGGGCAAGAGATTATGGATAGATATAGAATTTTTTTAACAGGGTGGTTATTTTATTAAGTGTTAGAAAAAATAAGTAGAAAATAGAAATTGGGAAAATATTATGTATACTGAAATATAATAGAACGTACCCTGTTTTCCCAAAAATAAGATCTCCCTGGATAATAAACCCAATCGGGCTTTTGAGTACATGCGCTAAAATAAGCCCTCCCTGAAAATATTTAAACTTATGCATAACTGGTCCCCCCCATTTCCTCTGGTTGGTTGCTGTGCAAACAGCATGAGGTAAAGCGAGGGGGGGAAGGGAGGGGGGAAAATGTCCCATGCACCCAGTGGTGGATTTCAAATATTTTTAGAACCTATTCTGTAGGTGTGGCCTGCTTTGTGGGAGTGGCTTGCCAGCCATGTGACTGAGTAGGAGTGGCTTGGCACTCATGTGACTGAGTGGGAGTGGCTTTCCAGCCATGTCACTGAGTGGGCGTGGCCAACTTTTAAAATGTGGTGAAACCCACTTAACAACGCTCTTGCTTAGCAACCAAAATGTTACAGGCTCAGAAACTCTGGCATTTGAAGCACACAAGTCTGTCAAGTTACAAGACCCTGGCACCCCTAACCTTTTAGAAAAAAAAAAAAAAACAGGGATGTTCAAACTTGACAGCTTTAAGACTAAGATTTAGATAGGACTCTTAAAGGCGGGGGGGGGACGATTGGTGAGCCAGCCAATCAGTGAGCAGCGGGCGGGGCAAGCGTGGTGCAGATGGGCGGGAGCTGGAACCGGTTCTAAATGGCATGGTAGATTTGTGGAACCTCTTCTATAGAAGAAGTTAGAACTGGCAGGAACCCACCCCTGCATGCACCCCACATGCCCTTACCTAACCGCTGCTCCCACAACCCTAGCCACCGTGCTCTTTCTGTCACGCTAATGGCTGTCGCAAAAAGAGTGGCAAGCCCAGTGATGCACAACACAGCAGCAGCCATGAGGTGACCAGGCTCGCTGCCTCCTGCACCTCAAAAACAATAAGACCTCGCCAAAACAAGGCCAAGTGTTTATTTTGGGGGTCAAAAGAAAATAAGACCCTGTCTTATTTTGGGGGAAACATGGTATTATAATTGCTATACATACACAAATGTTAGAAGTTGAAAAATTACGATTATACCAGTTCGGACCGGTCGAGTAAGTAGTAGCTCAGTCTGCTACGCCCCCGAACCGGTTTTATTGGCGGTGCCATGGGGGCCACCAACTTGCTTTCTGCACATGAGCTTCTTTTTAGCACTACACATGTGCGCAAGTGCGCAGCGCATCCCTGAGCAAACCGGCAGTAGCAGTAGCTGAACCCCCCCGACTTAAATGGTAATATTATTATCAGAATTGTATGCAAACACACAACATAAATAAATAAAATGTTATATATATATAAAAGATGGGTTGGTGGGCCTCACACTGACCACTACCTGCCAAGGGTGAACTTGACCGTCTCTTTATTGTGAGAAGCAACCATCACGTTGGCCTTCCGGCTGTGCCGAACCTCCTCCAGGATGTAGTCCAGGCATCTGCAGGAAAGAGGGATGAAGGGATCAGCTTGGCCTGCCAGGTGTCCCTTCCCCTCTTACAACCCAGAGCCGACTTCTCCCCACCTGTGGTACATCTCGCTCGTCTTTTCATAGGTTGGATTGATGGGGTCCTCGTAGCCCACTTCAGACGCCCGGCTTCGTTCCTGCTCCATGTATGCGCCTCTCACTAGCTTGGCTCCGAAATGCCACCCTTCCCGGCGCGAGAGCTCCACATCGATGGTCACGTTATCATAGGCCTCCTGTTTGGATGGATGGATGGATGGATGGAAGAGGAGGAAGAGGAGCCTGAGAATGTGCCTTCAATTGTACCTTGAAGGTTTCCAAGGCAAAACAGGATTCTCCTGGCAGTTATAACCTAAAGACCTTGAGATCTGTTCCTTTCTAAAAATTAACTAAATTTTATATTAGTGGAGGAAGATCCTCTCCACACTGCTCGATTCCAGCATCAAGAAGCACATCAAGAGGCGCAGTGGATAGAGTGCAGTACTGCAGGCTGCTTCTGCTGATTGCCGGCTGTCTGCAATTTAGCAGATCGAATCCCACCAGGCTCAAGGTTGAGTCAGCTTTCCATCCTTCTGAGGTGGGTCAGATGAGGACCCAGATTGTTGGGGGCAAGAGGCTGGCTCTGTAAACCGCTTAGAGAGGGCTATAAAGCACTATGAAGCGGTATTATATACCGTATTTTTCGGAGTATAAGACACACCTTTTTCCCTCAAAAAAGAGGGTGAAAATCTGGATGCGTTTTATACACTGA